CATCGATTGACTTTTCCTGTTATTCCTTTAGCACGCATTTTGTGCGCTATTACGCCATGGTCACACTTGTCGAAGGCTTTTGCAAAGTCTGTATATATTACATCTGCATTCTTTTTATCTTCTAGTGCATTTAGGACCTTGTCGTAGTGATCCAATAGTTGAGACAGACAGGAGCGACCTGTTCTAAACCCATGTTGCCCTGGGTTGTGTAACTGATGGGTTTCTAGATGGGTGGTGATCTTGCTTCTTAGGACCCTTTCAAAGATTTTTAAGATATGGGATGTTAGTGCTATCGGTCTGTAGTTCTTTGCTGTTGCTTTACTGCCCCCTTTGTGGAGTGGGGCTATGTCTGTTGTTTTTAGTAACTGTGGGACGACCCCAGTGTCCATGCTCCCTCTCCATAGGATGGTAAAGGCTCGTGATAGAGGCTTCTTGCAGTTCTTGATGAACACAGAGTTCCATGAGTCTGGCCCTGGGGCAGAGTGCATGGGCATGTCATTTATCGCTTGTTCGAAGTCATTTGGCGTCAGGATAACATCGGATAGGCTTGTGTTAACCAAATTTTGTGGCTCTCTCATAAAAAATTCATTTTGATCTTCGACTCTCAGTCTTTGGGTTTGCGGCTTGCTAAAAAATGAGTCATATTGGGACTTGAGTAGCTCACTCATTTCCTTGCTGTCATCTGTGTAGGACCCATCTTGTTTAAGTAGGGGCCCAATACTGGATGTTGTTCTCGACTTTGATTTGGCATAGGAGAAGAAATACTTTGGGTTTCTTTCGATTTCATTTATGGCTTTTTAGTTCTTCCGCGATCCTGACTCCTATAAGATTCCTTTAGCTTGAGTTCGATGCTTGCTATTTCTCTGACCAGTGTCTCCCTACGCATTTCAGATATATTGACCTCTTTTAGCCGCTCTGTTATTCTTTTCCGTCGCCTGTAAAGGGAGCGCCTGTCTCTTTCTATTTTACATCTACTCCTCCTTTTTCTTAGAGGAATAAGCCTTGTGCATACATCGAGTGCCACCAAGTTAATCTGTTCTAGGCATAAGTTGGGGTCTGTGTTGCTTAGTATATCTTCCCAGCTTATATCGGTTAGGACTTGGTTTACTTGGTCCCACTTTATGTTTTGTTATTGAAGTTGAATTTGGTGAATGCTCCCTCGTGACTAGTCTCATTATGTCGGTCTGGGGCTCCGAGCATACATGTCTGAACCTCAATTATGTTGTGATCTGATTTATATTGCTTTTGATATGGGTGACATTTCTTATCAGATCATCATTGTTAGTGATGATGAGGTCTAGTGTATTCTCCAGTCTAGTAGGCTCTATTATTTGCTGGTTTAAATTGAATTTTTGTGCAGAGATTTAAAAGCTCGTGTGAGTGTGAGTTTTCATCAGAGCTGCCTCCTGGTGTTATTACTGCAACAATATTATTTGCTATATTCCTCCATTTTAGGTGCCTTAAGTTGAAATCCCCCAGGAGCAAGATGTTGGGTGCAGGAGCTGGAAGATTTTCCAGACAGTGGTCAATTTTTAACAGCTGTTCCTGGAATTGCTGGGATGTTGCATCCGGAGGCTTGTAGACTACCACAATGACTAGGTTTTGGTTCTCGACCTTTACTGCTAAAACTTCCGCTACATCATTTGAGGCATTTAGCAGTTCTGTGCAAACAAGTGACTGCAATGTACAGGCCAACCCCCCCCCTTTTGCCTGTTCACTCTGTCACATCTGTATAGGTTGTAACCTGGGATCCATATTTCGTTGTCCAAGTGATCCTTTATGTGGGTCTCAGTGAAAGCCGCGAACATTGCCTTTGCCTCTGCAAGCAGTCCACGGATGAAAGGTATTTTGTTGTTTGTTGCTGGCTTTAGACCCTGTATATTTGCAAAGAAGAATGTCATCGGACTGGTGGTATTGTTGGTACTGGGGGGAAGGGATTTTTTTTCCGGCATTAGTATCTGTATCTGTTGGTTTGGAGTGGAGGCCATCGACTGTGGTTCCACTCCAGGAATGACTGGATTTGGTGTACGATTTCTGCCATTTCCTGCCAGTTTTTTTTCCTTCCTGGCACTAAAAAACCTCTCCCTCTTGAGTGGCTGTGGCTACCCAGGTTTTCCCATGGCCTGGATGTTTTGTATCTTTTTGTCCCCTTTAGATGGTGTGCCTGGCAATTTAAGTTATAGCACAGTCTTTCCTGTACTGAAGAGGTACACATTTCAGGGTGAAAAAGCTTACAGGAAGGGAGTTTGCATTTTCCTGTTGTCATATGGGCATGGCATTTTCTAGGGTGGTCATAGTTGCACGTCCCGTCTGTTTTTCCAGATTTCCCATGCCAGCAGATACCAAGTGCATAGTATGTGCACAGGCTTGGTTTCGTTTGCCTTGGTTTCTGTGACTGTATCCCTGTTGGGCATCCCAAAAACACTTCCCCTGTTTTAATATTTCTTGTGCAGTTCTTGGCATTGCAAAAGGGCGTGACACCAATTTCCCCCAAAAAAAAACTTTTTATCCTGGGGAAAAGCCCGTTTGTTTGGCTGACTGCAGACTACCCAGTTCAAATGTTTTGAATGTTGTTTTACTGAATTTCACTAGCAACCTTTGAATATCTATTAATAACCTCCTTAAATAAGCTCTAGCTTTTTTGTATTTTTTTTTTAAACTGTATTGTATATTGGACAGTTTACCGGTACTTTCCCGGTTTAATTTTGTTTTTTTTTATAAGGGCCCTAAAAAACCCCCACCCTTTCCAGCTTTTTTATTGCCACGAAACCGTTTGAAACCAGTCAAGGGTCGGACCAAAAGGGGTTTGGCCAGTCTTTTTTTACCATCGATCATTGAAGGGGCACTTATTTAAAAATACAGTCTTTTATTTGGGCTAACAAAATGAAATCTTTTTTGGGTTTATTATCAAAATATAATTTGGTTTGAAGAGCCTTTATTTTGGCAGCCCCTAAAATTACAAGGGCACCTAAACCCCTTTTTATAAATCCTTATCATTTCTATTTTTTTTTTCGTTCCACCAAATAAATTATATTACACATATCTTAAATTTTGAAAACCTTTTTCTTTAAAAATCTTCTCTTTATAAAAACCGCTTACCTACATTAAAAATAAATCAATAAAACTTGGAAATTTCAAAAAAAAAAACAATAAATCCCCCCACTCCACTAATACCAATAATATTTTATTTATACAACCTTATTCTGCTATTCACTTTATACTAAAACATAAAACTACAACCAAAATTAAAAAACACTTTACCTTTAAAATTTCACTTTTCACCTCCCTTTAAACTTACATTCAAAAAATTTACCTTTTTCAAAACCTTTTCCTTTATCACAATATATAGGGAGCCCTTTTAACCATACACTATTATACTCATTTTATCAGGGGACTTTCTTTCCCTCTACCAAAAGTTTTAATTAAATTTTTTTTTTCCACACGGGACACAGGCCTATGATTCCCCTCTGGCAGTAAACTCTGCTAGGTAGTGCACACTAATTCTCCTTTTTTTACTCAGTATATAATGTTTTCCGCCCAAGATTGGTTCCAGGCGCTAGAGGGATGTATCGTATAGGATTGATGACACAAATTAAAGTTCTAGCACGTAAGAGCGACCGTGAAAACACCAGAAAAACCCGGAGCACAACGAGGCACGCGGCACTGTTACCCTACCGGGTTTAGGGGTAACTAAAGTATAATCCACACTCACCAGAGGGGTAACTAAAGTATAACCCACACTCACCAGAGGGGTAACTAAAGTATAACCCACAAACTCACCAGAGGGGTAACTAAAGTATAACCCACAAACTCACCAGAGGGGTAACTAAAGTATAATCCACACTCACCAGAGGGGTAACTAAAGTATAATCCACACTCACCAGAGGGGTAACTAAAGTATAATCCACACTCACCAGAGGGGTAACTAAAGTATAACCCACAAACTCACCAGAGGGGTAACTAAAGTATAACCCACAAACTCACCAGAGGGGTAACTAATGTATAAACCACACTCACCAGAGGGGTAACTAAAGTATAACCCACAAACTCACCAGAGGGGTAACTAAAGTATAACCCACAAACTCACCAGAGGGGTAACTAAAGTATAACCCACAAACTCACCAGAGGGGTAACTAATGTATAAACCACACTCACCAGAGGGGTAACTAAAGTATAACCCACAAACTCACCAGAGGGGTAACTAAAGTATAACCCACAAACTCACCAGAGGGGTAACTAATGTATAAACCACACTCACCAGAGGGGTAACTAAAGTATAATCCACAAACTCACCAGAGGGGTAACTAAAGTATAACCCATAAACTCACCAGAGGGGTAACTAAAGTATAACCCACAAACTCACCAGAGGGGTAACTAATGTATAAACCACACTCACCAGAGGGGTAACTAAAGTATAACCCACAAACTCACCAGAGGGGTAACTAATGTATAAACCACACTCACCAGAGGGGTAACTAAAGTATAAACCCCACTCACCAGAGGGGTAACTAAAGTATAATCCACAAACTCACCAGAGGGGTAACTAAAGTATAATCCACACTCACCAGAGGGGTAACTAAAGTATAATCCACACTCACCAGAGGGGTAACTAAAGTATAATTCACACTCACCAGAGGGGTAACTAAAGTATAATGCACACTTACCAGAGGGGTAACTAAAGTATAATCCACAAACTCACCAGAGGGGTAACTAAAGTATAATGCACACTTACCAGAGGGGTAACTAAAGTATAATCCACACTCACCAGAGGGGTAACTAAAGTATAATCCACACTCACCAGAGGGGTAACTAAAGTATAATCCACACTCACCAGAGGGGTAACTAAAGTATAATCCACACTCACCAGAGGGGTAACTAAAGTATAATGCACAAACTCACCAGAGGGGTAACTAAAGTATAATCCACACTCACCAGAGGGGTAACTAAAGTATAATCCACACTCACCAGAGGGGTAACTAAAGTATAATGCACAAACTCACCAGATCAATGGTAACAATAAGATCATATTGCTGATGTTTCATGCCCTTCTTGCCCTTCTTGCCCGGCTTGCCCCCTGGCACCTTGCTAGGTGCCTGCTTCACCTGGGTCTTCTGGGCAGTAGGCTTGCCACCTTGCTTGCTCTTAGAAGGAGTGCCAGTCTTCTGGCCGGCACTCTTACCGGCTTGACTCTTAGGCACTGCATCCACGGAGCCACTCTTACTGCGAGCCTGTAAAATATTGCAGGTGTTAGTAGGTGTTAGATGGTGTTAGAAGGTGTTAGAAGGTGTTAGTAGGTGTTAGTGGCTGTTACTGTGTGTTAGCATGTGTTAGTAGGTGTTAGTGGGTGTTGGTGGCTGCTCTAGTGTTTGTTAGCCTGTGTTAGTAGGTGCTAGATGGTGTTAGAAGGTGTTAGAAGGTGTTAGTAGGTGTTAGTGGCTGTTACTGTGTGTTAGCATGTGTTAGTAGGTGTTAGTGGGTGTTGGTGGCTGCTCTAGTGTTTGTTAGCCTGTGTTAGTAGGTGTTAGATGGTGTTAGAAGGTGTTAGTAGGTGTTAGTGGCTGTTACTGTGTGTTAGCATTTGGTAGGAAGTGTTAGTGGCTGTTACTGTGTGTTAGCATGTGTTAATAGGTGTTAGTGGCTGTTACTGTGTGTTAGCATGTGTTAGCAAGTGTTAGTGGCTAGTACTGTGTGTTAGCATGTGTTAGTAGGTGTTAGTGGCTGTTGGTGGCAGCTCTAGTGTGTTAGCGTGTGTTAGGAGGTGTTAGAAGGTGTTAGGTGTTACAGGTGTTAGGAGGTGTTAAAAGGCATTACTCGGTGATAATAGATATTAGTTAGCAGGTTTTAGCAGGCGTTAGTAGGTGTTAGCAGATGGCAGGTGCTGGTACGTGCTAGCAAGTATTAGTAGGTGTTAGTGGATGTTAGCAAGTGTTAGTAGCTAGTATGTGCCAGTAGGTGTTAGCAGGTGTTTTCACGTGTTATTGGGTGTTAGTGGGTGTTAGTAGGTGTTTATAGGTGTTAGTAGATGTTAGTAGGCGTTGAATGTTAAAAGGTCTTAGTAGGTGTTAGCAGGTGTTAATACGTGTTAAAAGGTGCTAGTAGGCATTAAAAGGTGTTAGTAGGTGATAGCAGGTGTTAGCAGGTGTTAAAATGTGTTACTAAATGTTAGCAAATGTTACTAGGTGTTACAAGGTATTAGCAGGCGTTAGTAGGTGTTAGTAGATGTTAGCAATTGTTACAAGGTATTAGCAGGTGTTAGTAACTGGTAATGTGTGCTATTAGGTGTTAGTAGATTTAGTGCTATTAGGTGTTAGTGGGTGTTAGTAGGTGACAGTAGGTGTTAAAAGGTGTTAATAGATATTAACAGATGTTAGTAGGTGTTAAAGGTGTTAGTGGTGTCAGTAGGTATTAGTGGGTGTTAGCAGGTGTTAATAGGTATTGCAAATGTTAGGTGTTAGCAGGTGTTATTAGGTGTTATAAGGTGTTAGTAAGTGTTAGAAGGTTTAGTGGGTGTTAGTGGGTGTTAGTAGGTGTGAGTGGGTGTTAGTGAATGTTAGTGGGTGTTTAGTGGGTGTTAGGTGTTAGTGGGCGATAGTAGGTGTTAGTGGGTGTTAGGTGTTAGTGGGTGCAGTAGGTGTTAGTGGGTGTTAGTGGGTGTTAGTGGGTGTTAGTGGGTGTTAGGTGTTAGTGGGTGTTAGTGGGTGTTAGTAGGTCTTAGTGGGTGTTAGTGGGTGTTAGTGGGGGTTAGTAGGTGTTAGTGGGTGTTAGGTGTTAGTAGGTGTTAGTGGGTGTTAGTGGGTGTTAGTGGGTGTTAGGTGTTAGTAGGTGTTAGTGGGTGTTAGTGAGTGTTAGGTGTCAGTGGGTGTTAATGGGTGTTAGTGGGTGTTAGTGGGTGTCAGTGGGTGTTAGGTGTTAGTGGGTGTTAGTGGGTGTCAGTGGGTGTTAGTGGGTGTTAGTGGGTGTTAGTGGGTGTTAGGTGTCAGTGGGTGTTAATGGGTGTTAGTGAGTGTTAGTGGGTGTTAGTGGGTGTTAGTGGGTGTTAGTGGGTGTTAGTGGGTGTTAGTGGGTGTTAGTGGGTGTTAGTGGGTGTCAGTGGGTGTTAGTGGGTGTTAGTGGTGTTAGGTGTTAGTGGGCGATAGTAGGTGTTAGTGGGTGTTAGGTGTTAGTGGGTGCAGTAGGTGTTACTGGGTGTTAGTGGGTGTTAGTGGGTGTTAGTGGGTGTTAGTGGGTGTCAGTGGGTGTTAGTGGGTGTTAGTAGGTGTTAGGTGTCAGTGGGTGTTAATGGGTGTTAGTGGGTGTTAGTGGGTGCTAGAGGGTGATAGTGGGTGATAGTGGGTGTTAGTGGGTGTCAGTGGGTGTTAGTGGGTAAAAGTAGGTGAACAGATGAGGGTGAGAGTGGAAGCAGGTGTTACTATGCATTGGGCAGGTGTTCATCGGTAATTAAAACACCTGAGGCAGGTGTCTCCTGGACACAGGTGTCATCACACACCATTAAAATAGCACCTGCAGTGCCTCTCTCAAGGAAGGAGCCATTAAAACAACGGCCAAAAATTAGGCATATGGCCCGCAGGCGCATTATCAAAATCTCCGTAACGATTTTCAGAAAGTTTTGAAACCCCGCAGGACCGTCTAGATGTACGACCCAGGGTAGCATGGGTCGCTCCTGCCTCTCACAAGTACTGGAGCACTATTACAAGGTCAGGGTCGCTCCTGCCTCTCACAAGTACTGGAGCACTATTACAAGGCCAGGGTCGCTCCTGCCTCTCACAAGTACTGGAGCACTATTACAAGGTCAGGGTCGCTCCTGCCTCTCACAAGTACTGGAGCACTATTACAAGGTCAGGGTCGCTCCTGCCTCTCACAAGTACTGGAGCACTATTACAAGGCCAGGGTCGCTCCTGCCTCTCACAAGTACTGGAGCACTATTACAAGGTCAGGGTCGCTCCTGCCTCTCACAAGTACTGGAGCACTATGACATGGTCAGGGTCGCTCCTGCCTTTCACAAGTACTGGACCACTATGACATGGTCCTGGATGGTCGCTCCTGCCTCTCAAAACCACTGGACCACTATGACATGGTCTTGGATGGTCACTCCTGCCTCTCACAACTACAGGACCATTATGACATGGTCTTGGATGGTCGCTCCTGCCTCTCACAACTACTGGACCACTATGACATGGTCTTGGATGGTCACTCCTGCCTCTCACAGCTACTGGACCACTATGACATGGTCTTGGATGCTCGCTCCTGCCTCTCACAACTACTGGACCACAATGACATGGTCTTGGATGGTCGCTCCTGCCTCTCAAAACCACTGGGCCACTATGACATGGTCTTGGATGGTCGCTCCTGCCTCTCACAACTACTGGACCACTATGACATGGTCTTGGATGGTCACTCCTGCCTCTAACAACTACTGGACCACTATGACATGGTCATGGATGGTCGCTCCTCCCTCTCACAACTACTGGACCACTATGACATGGTCTTGGATGGTCACTCCTGCCTCTCACAGCTACTGGACCACTATGACATGGTCTTGGATGGTCGCTCCTGCCTCTCACAACTACTGGACCACTATGACATGGTCTTGGATGGTCACTCCTGCCTCTCACAACTACAGGACCATTATGACATGGTCTTGGATGGTCGCTCCTGCCTCTCACAACTACTGGACCACTATGACATGGTTTTGGATGGTCACTCCTGCCTCTCACAGCTACTGGACCACTATGACATGGTCTTGGATGGTCGCTCCTGCCTCTCACAACTACTGGACCACAATGACATGGTCTTGGATGGTCGCTCCTGCCTCTCAAAACCACTGGGCCACTATGACATGGTCTTGGATGGTCGCTCCTGCCTCTCACAACTACTGGACCATGATGACATGGTCTTGGATGGTCACTCCTGCCTCTCACAACTACTGGACCACTATGACATGGTCTTGGACGGTCGCTCCTGCCTCTCACAACTACTGGACCACTATGACATGGTCTTGGATGGTCGCTCCTGCCTCTCACAACTACTGGACCATGATGACATGGTCTTGGATGGTCACTCCTGCCTCTCACAACTACTGGACCACTATGACATGGTCTTGGACGGTCGCTCCTGCCTCTCACAACTACTGGACCACTATGACATGGTCTTGGATGGTCGCTCCTGCCTCTCACAACTACTGGACCACTATGACATGGTCTTGGATTGTCACTCCTGCCTCTCACAACTACTGAACCACTATGACATGGTCTTGGATGGTCGCTCCTGCCTCTCACAACTACTGGACCACTATGACATGGTCTTGGATGGTCGCTCCTGCCTCTCACAATTACTGGACCACTATGACATGGTCTTGGATGGTCACTCCTGCCTCTCACAACTACTGGACCACTATGACATGGTCTTAGATGGTCGCCCCTGCCTCTCACAACTACTGGACCACTAAGACATGGTCTTGGATGGTCGTTCCTGCCTCTCACAACTACTGGACCACTATGACATGGTTTTGGATGGTCGCTCCTGCCTTTCACAACTACTGGACCACTATGACATGGTCTTGGATGGTCTATCCTGCCTCTCACAACTACTGGACCACTATGACATGGTCTTGGATGGTCGCTCCTGCCTCTCACAACTACTGGACCACTATGACATGGTCTTGGATGGTCGGTCATGCCTCTCACAACTACTGGACCACTATGACATGGTCTTGGATGGTCGCTCCTGCCTCTCACAACTACTGGACCACTATGACATGGTCTTGGATGGTCGCTCATGCCTCTCACAACTACTGGACCACTATGACATGGTCTTGGATGGTCGCTCATGCCTCTCACAACTACTGGACCACTATGACATGGTCTTGGATGGTCGCTCCTGCCTCTCACAACTACTGGACCACTATGACATGGTCTTGGATGGTCGATCCTGCCTCTCACAACTACTGGACCACTATGACATGGTCTTGGATGGTCGCTCCTGCCTCTTACAACTACTGGACCACTATGACATGGTCTTGGATGGTCGCTCCTGCCTCTCACAACTACTGGACCACTATGACATGGTCTTGGATGGTCGCTCCTGCCTCTCACAACTACTGGACCACTATGACATTGTCTTGGTCGCTCCTGCCTTTCACAACTACTGGTCCACTATGACATGGTCTTGGATGGTCGATCCTGCCTCTCACAACTACTGGACCAGTATGACATGGTCTTGGATGGTCGCT